GGTCACATATGTGGTTATTTCCGTGTGCAGATTTGGAGCCAGTCCCTCTAATAATTTCAAAATGTAAATTATTATGTATCCCTCTCTCATGCCCTCTAATTAAAACATTTTAAGTTGTTTCAATAATTTAGATGGTTTATTGAGTGGATTCAGGCAGTAAAAAAGCTTTAAGTTCTGAAAGTCTGTAATTTCTTCAGCTTTAAATGGAGGTGTTAGTGTGCCACAATATTCCACTCTAGCAAATATTAGTGTTTTAAAAAGTATCATTGGTGTGGCATCTCTTGTTTGAAAGGTTCTCATTATGCACACTCTCATTTTTCTTGTAGTTGTGACAGCTACTTTATTGTGGTGCAGGCGATGAATCACAATAATGTGGCTAAAGTATGATGACCAGACCACACACTAGAAGGTGAAGGGACGATGACGTTTCGGTCCATCCTGGACCATTCTCAAGTCGATTGTCTTTATTGTGGTTTTTTAAAAGTAAGGTCTTTTGACATGATTAGTCTCATATTGTGTATTACTATTTCATTTTATAGTGTAATTTTAAGCTTTTACCCCACCTACAGTTCTAAAACGCCTCTTCTTTGAGCACTTTTCTTCACACTCCCACTCTGTTTCCATCTTCACCGATGGGTCCAAGTCTGCTGACGGTGTGGGCTACTCTGTAGTTTTTCCTGACCAGACTTATATGTGTCACCTTCCTCAGGAGGCTAGCATCTTCACAGCAGAACTTTATGCTATTCTCTATGCTCTTCGTCTCCTGCTTTCTCGTTGTCAATCCTCCTCTGTGGTGGTAGTTGACTCTCGTAGTGCCCTCATGACTTTGGGGTCCTTTAATCCGGTCCACCTGGTGGTCATCGAGATTCAACATTGGCTGTTTCTTATCTCCAGTAAATTTAAGTCGGTAGAGTTTTGCTGGGTTCCCAGCCATGTTGGTGCCTCTTTAAATGAGCGTGCGGATGATGCCGCTAAGGAAGCTATCCGCACTTGTCCCATCTCCCATAAAGGTACAGTATTCCTAATTCTGACTTTTACCCAGTTATTCATTCCTCCATCCTTGCCCATTGGTAGGGTTATTGGTCTTCTGTTACTGGTAACAAACTGCGTACTCTTAAGAGTCGTGCGTCCCTGTGGCCTTCCTTCTACCATTGTAACCGGCGGTGGGAAACGGCTCTAGCTAGGTTACGTATTGGTCATACACGTTTAACTCAATGTCACTTAATGGAGCGCCACCCTGCTCCTTATTGTCCAAATTGTATTTTTCCTCTTATGGTCGTGCATATCCTTGTTGAATCTCCTGACTTCCAGGACGAGCATGCGTCTTGCTTTCCAACCGTCCCTCGCGGTCATTTGTCCTTCGATAGAATTCTTTGTGAATCAGATACTTTTGATATTGTATCGTTCGCCTTATGCGTTTCTGTTCTCGTATTGGCATCCTTGGTGATATTTAGCGCCCTCTGATTACTCAGCACATTTGGTGGTGCTAAATAGCCTTCCCAGTTTGGTGCCTTCTTTTGATAATTACTTACTGTATTTTATGTGGTTTCTGTTTTGATATTTTTATTTTTACCATAGTGCAGGAGCTGGAGCTTATCTTTATTAAAGTTAATATTTTCTGTGGCCATTAAAAGATTTGGATTACACCTGTTTGAAGGTTTACTGTGTCCTCTATATTGCCTACTCTCGGGAAAATCCTAGTGTCATCTGCACAGGAGGATACAGGTTTACCGTGTCCTCTATATTGTCTACTCTCGGGAAAATCCTAGTGTCATCTGCACAGGAGGATACAGGTTTACTGTGTCCTCTATATTGTCTACTCTCGGGAAAATCCTAGTGTCTTCTGCACAGGAGGATACAGGTTTACTGTGTCCTCTATATTGTCTACTCTCGGGAAAATCCTAGTGTCTTCTGCACAGGAGGATACAGACACATAGTTTGTGTCCTTGGCTATGAGGAAAAGTTCTGGAGCAGGCACAGTACCCTGGGGGACTGAGCATTTCATGGTGAATGACCCATGTTTTACTTTTCTGGGGGGAGCCCTTTGTGGCTTCCTGAAGCTACTATAATGATATAGTGCAAACTTCTAAGTGTATGAATGTGTAATTACCTAAGTGTATTTACAGGATGAGAGCTGTGCTCGTGGTGTCCCATCTACCCAGCACTCTGTCATGTAACGCTTTGAAGCTACTGACGGTCTTGGCCTCCACCACCTTCTCATCTAACTTGTTCCAACCGTCTACCACTCTGTTTACAAAAGAGAATTTTCTTATATTTCTCCGGCAGCTTTGTTTTGTTAGTTTAAATCTATGACCTTTTGTTCTTAAAGTTCCGGGTCTCAGGAATTCTTCCCTATCAATTTTTTTGATTCCTGTTACTATTTTGTACGTAGTGATCATATCGCCTCTGTTTCTTCTATCTTCTAGTTTTTGCATATTGAATGCCTTTAACCTCTCCTCGTAGCTCTTGTCCTTCAGTTCTGGAAGCCACTTGGTGGCATGTCTTTGGACCTTTTCCAGTTTGTTTATGTGATTCTTAAGATATGGGCACCACACAACCGCTGCAGATTCCAGCTTTGGTCTAATAAAAGTCGTGAACAATTTTTTTAGTATATCGCCATCCATGTATTTAAAAGCAATTCTGAAGTTAGAAAGTGAAGCATAGGCTCCTTGCACAATGTTCTTAATGTGGTTCTCAGGTGATAGTTTTCTATCTAGAACAACCCCTAGATCCCTTTCTTTGTCAGAATTCTTTGAAGATTTCTCACATAATTTATAGTTTTGTGGGGTCTATGTTCTCCTATTCCACATTCCATAACATGGCATTTATTCACATTAAATTCCATTTGCCAAGTGTTGCTCCATATACTTATTTTGTCCAGGTCATCTTGAAGGGCATGACAATCTTCTAGGTGTCTTATCTTCCCTATTATCTTAGCATCATCAGCAAACATGTTCATATAATTCTGTATTCCATCTGGTAGATCGTTTATGTAGACAATGAACATTACCGTGGTATGTATGCACTTATGTATATGAATGGAAATGTGTGTGTGTATTGGAGGTTGGAGGCCAGATGGGGAAGATGGGGATGAAGGAGAGACATAGGGTGGGGAGAAGGGGGAAAATGGAGGAGATTGGAGTCAAGAGGGGGAGAAAAGGGGAAGGGCAGGAAAGTGTGAGGAGGGAGGGAAGGTGGGGGATGTGGGGAAAGTGGGAAAGAAAGGGGATGGAATGGGTAGTTGAGGGAGAGACAGAGTATTCCTGGGAACCACTTCTTGTTGTCAATAAAGGTAAGATAATTACCAGAATAAAACACTTAACCCCATGACTAAATAGTACTTGAAAGGTATGGGAGGACAGAATTAGAAGCGGGTAAAACAGTAAAGAAGCGAAGGAGTAACGGAATGGTGCCCAATCTCTTGGACCATCAGGAATTGAACTTCAACTATACTAGAATCCTTTGACTACTGTATATAGCACTTGGAAGGGATATGGGGACTGAGTGTAGGAAATTTGCCCAACCACTAGGACCATAAAGAAGGTAATGTTAATGCAGCAAGAAGCTGGTTTGACTAAGCACTTGGAGTGGGAGAGGAGGAGGAGGAGGAGGAGGAGGACACTGGGATACGAGGACAAAATGAGGGAATGGTGCCCAACGATGCCCCTTGGACGGTGCCCCTTGGACCTTCAGAAATTGAAAGCTGAACCTGCTAGAGACTATACTGTATAACACTTGCAGGATGGAGTGTAAAAACATTGTCTATCCATTTGGATTATTGGCAATCAAATGCAGACCTGTATGAAGCCAATATGACTAAGCACTTGGAAAGGATATTAAACTGGACTTTAAGCTGCAATATGAGGAAGGAGTGAAGGAATTTATCCAGTCTCTTTGGGATCATCTCAAAGCTCTCCGAATGTACTCACTAGAAAGACGACGGGAGAGATATCGAATAATATACACATGGAAAATACTGGAGGGCCAGGTCCCAAATCTGCACAGTAAAAAACAACATACTGGAGTAAACAATATGGAAGAAAATGCAGAATAGAACCAGTGAAGAGCAGGGGTGCCATAGGCACAATTAGAGAGAACAGTATAAACATCTGAGGTCCATGGTTGTTCAACACCCTCCCAGCAAGCATAAGAAATATTGCCGGGAACAACAGTGGACATCTTCAAGAGGAAACTAGATAGTTTCCTTCAAGGAGTGCCGGACCAACCGGGCTGTGGTGGGTATGTGGGCCTACGGGTCGCTACAAGCAAGAGCCTGGTGGACCAAACTCTCACAAGTCAAGCCTGGCCTCGGGTCGGGCTTGGGGAGTAGAAGAACTCCCAGAACCCCATCAACCAGGTATCAACCAGGTATTAAAGATTGTCTGCTGACTACAGGAAGTGATGATGTCGCAATACCAACTAGTCCAAGTAGTCAAAAATGATTACAGTTTTCCTATTATTTACAGCATTACTGTTTTTTTCCAAATGTTTTGTCTTGCTCTGTCCTGTTTCTTACTACCTATTTGATGTGCTTGCTGAGGCAAATGTCATCCTTTCTCCACTCTCTTTAATGATATCATTTATAATTATGTACAAACATGTAAAATATTTACTCACTTACCAACATTTAGAGATATTGGATAATATCAGGAAAAGATTCTTAATAGTTACAGATAAAGGTCAGCATAAACTATTTAGCTGTTTTGTTTTGTTCAGGATTCATGAAGCATTGACTTGTCCACTTATGAAACCTGTCAATCTTAGTTTGTATTCATTAAACAGTTGATGAGCGTTGAAGTGCTGATCATTCTTGATCCAAGTTTATAAATGCTATGGATGACTTAGTAGTGCTTTGGAGCTCATAAAATGTTCTAATAAATGTAAACAAAGAGGCCATGATTCAGAAAAGATGTACAGGTCTCACAATTGGACATGTTAATGGTTGGTGAATCCTGGCCTCTCTCCAAGAATACATTTACTGAGTGAGAGTAACATTTCAGGAGTGATCGGACGGATGTAGTGGGTGAGCTTCGGACTGCAGAGGAGCAGGTGGAGGAGCTACGGTTATTGTGTGAAGCTTACACAAGGTCCCTGGAGAAATGTCTTCACACGCACTCCACAGCCGACGAGAAGAAGTTGGTTAGTAAAGGTGCATGCATCATAACAACAAGAAATATGGCGAAGAGTGACTTGAAGGGATCTCCGATATTTCCTCAAGATCGTGTGAAAGCCCATAGTCAATTTGCATGGTACACGGTTCCCTACATAATATCTGAAATAACACAAATCAAAGGTATCAGAAGGGGGTTACAAATCATCATAATAATGAACCTTACTTGAACAAATGTACTGTATAATCTAATGAATAAGATATTTAGAAATATCACACTAGTATTGCATAGAAGCACTGTATTATTTACTCAAGCAACTCAGTGGGTCACATCAACTCCACAACTACTTGCTTCACTGCGTGTGCAGTGAATCAACATAATTACTTCCTCTGCTCTTTTTGCTTTCTTCTTGGTGCGTTGAATTATGGCGGTGACTACATTGTCTGCCTGTATGTCCCTTGTTGTAACCAACTCATCTGGTTCTCTCTTCCTGAATAAATTCAGTTCAGTTTCATGTATGTCTGTTGGTTAATATGTGAAATTTGTTTCATTTTGAATATATAGCATATGTATGTGTTGGGAGATTTATTAATTCCTTTTGCTGGGTACAAGTTTATCGTGGTCTCCTCTAGGGCCAACTACTGACCTTACCTAGGATACAACCCAGAACAGTTGCCTAACTCCAAGGTACCCCATATACTGTTAGGTCAACAGAGACATCAGGAAAAAGGAAATGTGCCCAACTGTTCTGTCCTGCCCAGGTTTTGAACTAGGCCCCTCGATTGTGAGTTAAGGACATAGGCCAGTGTGCTACTGAATTTCCATGAAAACCTACATTTATCCTCAAGATTAGTTATATCTCATGTCTTGTATGCTCACTTGCTTTCATATGGTTTTGAGGATGAAGTAATGATATCCTAATTAACAGGATGGTGTGGCACTATTGACTAATAGTCAAGAAAGCTGGATTAAATCTCTGGGTAGGATAGATGGTTGGGCACGTTTCCTTTCACCTAACGTCCCTGTTCATGTGAATGGGTACCTGGGAGTTGGGCAACTGTTCTGGGTTGTATCCTGGGTAAGGTCAGTGGCTGGCCTAGAGGGGACCACGATAAACTTGTACCCAGCAACAGGAATTAATAAACCTCCCAACACACAATATGCTATATATTCAAAATGAAACAAATTTCATTTTGTCTAGAGGGGACCTTGATAAGCCCAAGTACAGTTTTTCTGGCCCTGACAATGTGAAACTAATTTCCTAAGAAGTAGTCAATTGTGCTACTTTGTCTTGAACTATCTATATAGTGAACGCTTAATTTGTGAAGATTCAGAAAACATGAAATATACACATTGTAAAGTATTCTATTCAGACCTAAAATCTACCAACCTCTCCTCCTATAAAGAACGTTTGAGTTACACAAGGCCAAATATTGTTATAGTGTACTAGAAAATGGAAGCGGATGGCGAAAGTGACGTACTGTCCCATTTTCTGTTATGAGTCCTCTGGTAGGTTAGGAGAGGTTATTTTAAATTGACCGTTTTCTTGACGTAGGAAAACCTTCGGGCTGAATCTACACATACAGTATTAATTAATTTTTTAAATATTTTGCAAGAACTTTGAGATATTTATATATAACTGTAATATGTCTCTTGCAACTACAGTACTGTATACCATATTACAGAGATGTTCATCATTATAACCTCAATAGTTTTAAAGCTTCAAATTATTTATAGATGCATGACTGGAATACCTGTGTACACGTGTTCATTATCTCTAAATCAAATTCCAATACTGTACTTGCTTCCAAACTTCCATACATTTTCTTATTAAATGTAAAATTAATTATATTTAGGTTCTAACAAGATTGATAAATATTAAAAGGCTATATACTGTATATTAAAAGCTATATATATACAGTAATCGGCATCCCCACCATCAAGTCACACCATTATATGCAAAATGTAAACACAGTTATCTTATTGGTCATGCCAGCCCTCCTCCCAAGCCACTTGTCTATCACAACCACCACTGTTCCCACCACTACCACAACTACCACTGTTCCCACCACTACCACAACTACCACCACTCTTACAGCCACCACCAGTTCCAAGACTACCTTGGACACCATCATTCCCACTACCATGATTACCACCACTACCACAACCACCACCATTCCCAACACTACCACCACCACCATTCCCAACACTACCACCACCACCATTCCCAACACTACCACCACCACCATTCCCAACACTACCACCACCACCATTCCCAACACCACCACCACCACCATTCCCAACACCACCACCACCACCACCATTCCCAACACTACCACCACCACCATTCCCAACACTACCACCACCACCATTCCCAACACTACCACCACCACCATTCCCAACACGACCACCACCACCACCATTCCCAACACTACCACAACCACCACCACCACCACCATTCCCAACACTACCACAACCACCACCACCACCATTCCCAACACTACCACAACCACCACCACCACCATTCCCAACACTACCACAACCACCACCACCACCATTCCCAACACTACCACAACCACCACCACCACCATTCCCAACACTACCACAACCACCACCACCACCATTCCCAACACTACCACCACCACCACCACCACCACCACCACCACCATTCCCAGCACTACCACCACCACCACCACCACCATTCCCAGCACTACCACAACCACCACCACCACCATTCCCAGCACTACCACAACCACCACCACCACCATTCCCAGCACTACCACAACCACCACCACCACCATTCCCAGCACCACCACAACCACCACCACCACCATTCCCAGCACTACCACAACCACCACCACCACCGTTCCCAGCACTACCACAACCACCACCACCACCGTTCCCAGCACTACCACAACCACCACCACCGTTCCCAGCACTACCACAACCACCACCACCATCGTTCCCAGCACTACCACAACCACCACCACCATCGTTCCCAGCACTACCACAACCACCACCACCACCGTTCCCAGCACTACCACAACCACCACCACCACCGTTCCCAGCACTACCACAACCACCACCACCACCGTTCCCAGCACTACCACAACCACCACCACCACCGTTCCCAGCACTACCACAACCACCACCACCACCGTTCCCAACACTACCACAACCACCACCACCACCGTTCCCAACACTACCACAACCACCACCACCACCGTTCCCAACACTACCACAACCACCACCATTCCCAGCACTGCCACCACCACCACCATTCCCAGCACTACCACAACCACCACCACCACCATTCCCAGCACTACCACAACCACCACCACCACCATTCCCAGCACTACCACAACCACCACCACCACCATTCCCAGCACTACCACAACCACCACCGTTCCCAACACTACCACAACCACCACCACCACCGTTCCCAGCACTACCACAACCACCACCACCACCGTTCCCAGCACTACCACAACCACCACCACCACCGTTCCCAGCACTACCACAACCATCAAGCCTATCCCCGGGCCAGGCTTGTATGTGAAGCAGACTCGGCTTATTTTCACTTTGAAACCAGTATGTGCTGTAAGAGTATTGAATGACACAGAAACCATACTCAGACAAGTCCGAGGACAAGTGCAGGCATAGGATAAGACAGTTATCCCAAATCATTATAAATAGCTTGGACATGGGAACACACTTAATATATTTGCTAGCAGATAGGACACTTTGTTATAACAAAGTTTAGGCTTGATGTCGTAGCATACATGAAGGAAAGTGGTAATAAGGTAGTTTTGCATTGAAATCACTTTTGATAAAAGTATTGTAAAAAAAAAAAAAAATTCCTCAAAATATCTCTTGTAAAATAGGGGTGGGTTTTAACCACTGTGATGTGCCGAGTTTATTGTGAAATTCCTCCCGTGCATATGAAATCAAGTGTTCTCAAAATTTTTTTTTTCTTTTGTAAAATGATAAATTCCCTTCCTTGAACATGTCTATTTAAAATAAATACCAAATTCCACTTACTTTGGCTGTAGGGGACGTAGACAAGGTACACAGTGACGTCATCAGGGGCTGGCCACCCGTGCATGAAGCTCCCAGACATGGTCGTGCGGGCCATTCAAGCACCGCGTGTTGCCACAAATATATTTTCAATTATTTGTTCTATGTATTTCCAATGCAGTTTTATTTTTTATTTTTTTATTGTATATGATGCATATTTGTGTCCTTTACAATATGTATACAGTAGAACGTTTATAATGTTCCATGGAACTGTGATACATGTGTCAGTAATGTGTCCACAATAAATGTTTATTGTCACAGTATTACTTGTTAAAAATTCACTAAAATTACAATATGTACAGTTTCACACACTATTTACACAGTAACACACTGTATTACACACTCGGTTTTTCGGAAGTGAGTAATAATCAATGAAGTAGTCCATGGTACACAGCGCGACTTCGCTCGTGTTGTACCAGGTACAGATAGATTTTTGCTTCTTGTTTCTTCGTTCTGTGTGCTTGCAAATAACACACTCACGTACACCCTTGGCTTTAGTACTTGTAGGTGGTATGTAGCCAAGCTTGTAAAGCATGAGGTAACATTGAAAAGATTATAAGAAAAGATCAGTTTGTAAGGTAGTCTTGAAAAGATCACTTTATAAGGTCCCACACAGGAAGAGACTCGGCCACCCTCGAAGAGTGTGCGTCAATCTAAAACAGATTCAGGCATTCTGGAAGAGATTCAGCTAGCCTCAAAGAGTGTCAGTCAATCTGGAAGAGATTGAGCTATTCTTGAAAATATCTATGGAAAACACCACCATGGAAGCCGCTAACACTGTTCATCTATGCTACTTGTATCAGATGCATCATCACTGAACGCAGAAAATGATTCATCTATGTATCATCTTTATAAAATGGAGATGGCATAGGTGGGCAAGGGTGGCGCTCGGTGCTACAACTGGATACGCTCGCTGTATCGTCCTCATAGGTGCTGTATCACTTGCATCCGACTTTTGTGTTAGGTCCTTATTCCGCCTAGCTTCACCAATATCATGACCCTTATGTTCATCAAACAATAAGGTTTGAATTTCACCGACAGTGCGCGATCTTTCAACACCACGTCGGCCCTAGGGCATTCTGGGAATTTTTTCCAAGATGGCTGCCTCTCACTGGAGGTCCTAAGAGTCCATTTTGTACACAACCAATCGTGCACACATTTTGAATGGGTACGAAAAAATCAGAGTTTTCTCGGTTGGCGCAGTCCAGTGGTTAAGTGCAGGCACATCTTATATGCCAACAAATACAGGAGTTATATATGGAGAATAAGAAGGCTTGGATTGTGGAATAGAGCAATATGTAGCAGCTAAGAACTAGAACTTGAGGAGGCTTAAGAGTTTGTTGACCAAACCTCACACTAGAAATTGAAGACGACGACGATGACGTTTTGGTTCATCCTGGACCATATGAGTTTGAGTTTACTCCTCTCATTTCCTATGTAGTTGTACTTGAATGAGGAAGAGGCAAGTTTAATAAGTTATACTTTGTTATGCTCAAACAACATTTTCAGGAAATGTTAGTCATAAAAGAGTTGTGGAAAGTACATTGTTTATACTGTATAAGAACAATAAGGATGCATTTCAAAGACCTCTTAAAATTCATATTTGCCTACCACTTCCTCTATAAAACACTTTTGAAGATCATTATTAAATTATCACACCACTTTCCTGACACGCACTACTTGCACACACCAGTACCGTGTACAGTCACAAATATATTCTATAAAGTAGATTTGTGCTCTCATCAGTGATGTAGATACAAATAAGTGTTCCATTTATTTCCTTGTGTATTTTTGGATGTAACAGACATTGTCCTGGTGCAAGAATGTAATCCAAATGGTATTGAAAAAGATACAAAATACCACTGCTAATTCATACTAAGCAAACCACTCTCTGTATTTCGTGAAGTTTGTGTTAAACATTCAAATCACGGAAAGTGAATTTCATGCTACCAAATTCTCGAATAGCAATTGATGGCTGTATTGAAGATAATTTTCATATGGTGAGAAGACCATGCACTTTTGTTATGGTTTTGTTGACCTTCCCTGACAATTGTTCTTTCTAACTAAGATAATTATCAGGGGAAAGTTCTAAGCCAATATCACTTGGAAAGGATTTGAGGACAATGACCTGGGACGGGACAGTGAAGCAACGGTGCCCAGTCATTTGGATGTTTGGGGGATTGAATACCGACCTGCAAGAAGCGAGGCTTTCAGTACCGACCAATCCAAGTGGTTGGGTTCACTAAGAAGTTAACCATATTTCTTAAGGCTCATTTGGACTTGCAGTAAGCTAGTGATCAAGAGTATGGGTTAATTTACATGAGTTTCTCCATTTTCCATTATAAATCAGATGTATTTATAGGGGCTAAGAAAACATTGAAGCCATATGATGGGATCAAACCTGCATTCCTCAACTCTGAACTCCTCAGGTGCATGCACTACTGACTGCTTCGATCTCGTTGTACATCTTCAATATTTTCTCATACATATATCAGTCTAATGATTTCATTGAGTACTCATGAAGGTTATTTCCCAAACTGTAGTTGCTGCACATTGTAAGAGAGTCAACGATATCTTGTTATAATATAGAGTCTATTGCAGAGAAAAGTGCCAGAGTATCAAGCAGCCGAGGCACTCAAAGAAGCACTCAACTGCCTTCCTCCGGTGGAGAACCCCGACCACCAGGACCTACTCAGGTATGATCACACACAAAGTTGATTTGTTTTTTGGTTTTCTCAATGTTGTGTGGCACTACAGATTTTGTCTTAATTGAGGTACATATACTAAATTTTCAAATGTCATTATTCAATGGGTATTTACACACCTTGTATGCAGAGCACTGCACAAATACACTTATCTACTTGAAGGTGATAAGTGAAAATCAATTTAAAAAATTCTGTACTGTACTCACAGACAACAATTCAGAGTAACCCTGCAGGCCAGATCAAATGGGGAGTTAGGTAAGTATATGCCAAGTGAAACTTCATTGACAACTTAAATAGAGGTGGTTAATACAGGACTAGAAAAGTACAAGGAGACAAAAAAAAGAAACATGCATAAGCAGTAAAAAAGAGAGAAATGTTTTCATTTCCCTCCTGGAGCTGTCCTCGGACTGGCTCACGGAGGATGTTGAGGTGCTTAGTGGCATTCCCGGGTCTGGTGCTTTGGTCTCGACTGCTTGTGCGGCATCTGAGCTTCTGAAGCTGTTTGCGCCGTCTCGGTTTTTCGCTGCGCGTCTTTCATGCCAGCAGGTTGTGCTCGCTTCCTCCTTGAAATCCGCTTGGGCCCTAGCTCTTAGTAAGATTGTCTTTTCCTTTTTGTCCCTTCCTGTTTGCAGACTCAAGTCAAGTTTGGTTCTTTTCCAGCTAACCGGGTTCGGGTTCCTGGTGGACTGGAGGAAGTCCAATCTGGTTCCCTTGTAACGGGGGGTGGGGGGAATGGCTCTCTCTTGTCCATTATTCCACCCCCCCAGTTAACTAACGAGGCCGGGGGAAACAGCTCTCTCTAGTCCGTTATCCCGTCCTCAGTTAACTATTCTAGAGCACTCCCAGAGTTCCTACTGCAACCTCTCTCGTTCAACACCTTGTAACCTAGGTATTTGACTACCTAAGTGCAGGGACTACAAGGCGTCGTAACTTGATCAGCTACCCGAAAACCCTAGAGAGAACTCTAGAACACACATTTCGCTGCCACAACCGTATAAGAGAAACGAAAGGAAAGAGATGAATAATGAAGTAATTAGTGAGGGTTTGGGGTGAGAGAGGTAGAGAGGTGGGAGGAGCGAGGAGGGTCGTCAACTGAAAGGGAGAGGATGGAGAGGGGTGGAGGGAGAGGAGTAGAGAGGTAGAAGTAGAAAAATAGATAGTAGAAGAGTAGATAGTAGAAGAAGAAATGCTGCCTACATCCATTCTAGACCATTACATACAAGACAAGGAATGGAACTTGTCTGTATCACCAAATTCTCAAAGATGTTAACACGAGGTCATTATTAGTCTGTTCCATCTGTATCATGTACTCATCAAAATCCTGAACCCAGTAACAGCAGAGGCTTTCTCACCTCAACTTAAAAACTCTAGGGAACAAAGTTAAAGACAATTTAAATAATAAATTCATTAATTATATTTCACATAAGTATCATAATTTAAGCAATTCAAATGTTCAAGTTTAATATGCAAAGTGAGTCATCATCCAAGAATTCGAGAACCCTACAATTTGACTGTCCCTGATCCTCACACAACCCTTGTAAACACGACCAAGTCACCTTAATGTTCAACTCACCAAGTGTCTGCCTATAGCTGAATAGAGAGGGAGGGGGGGGGAGTCTGCAGTTGTCAGGCAGCGTCACCCCCCCGTCCGGCGACAGCCTATCTCGACGGCTGGCCTCTGCTCTGCTCTGCTGGCTGGTTTCCTATTGCTTTTCTATGCTCTGCTCTCTGAGTATATATTGGGGAACCTAGTAGCTAACTCCGCCCACAAGTAGATAGCCCGAGGCTCTCTACGAAACCACTCCTTAAACGTCGGCATGTTTGAAGGCCAATTATGAGATCAGCAGAAGCAAGGTGAAATTTGCATGATTTGACCTCAGGTCACTTGGGGTCATTAACGCTTAGGTGTGTGAGTTTCAGGCCAACAAACTGGCGCCTCTCAGATCCTTGTCTCTGACTCATGTATCTCTATGTATATATTAAATAAAACTAAACCAAACACCTTACGGTGCTACACCCTCCCAGGTTCAACCCTGGCTGGGTCTTGTGTGGGACTCTCGGGCCGCTTCCTTGTCTTTCCCTCCGGAGTCTCAACTTCGGCTGCGGCCCTGCATGTGCTGGTTTCTGGGGCTCCCGGGTTCGACCCCCGGGGGCCTTGCGCCAGCTGCTGTGTCGCCTGCTTCCTCTTCAGGTTTTTTGGGGTTCAGTGCCCTGGCGCCTACACGAGCCCTCGCTCAATGTGTACACGGACGCATTGTCTCTTGGCTGGGGCTTTCTGACAAGTGCTCACCAGGCCGGCCAGGGGCGGTGGGGTCCGTCCAGGCCGTTGGGCCTGCCACATTACGGTGCGGGAGTTTGTGGTGGTGTAGTTTGCGCTTCGGAAGGTTCGGGTCGCCCACTGATCGACGATCCGGCTCCATTCGGATTTTTCCCCGATGGTTCATTGCTTGAACCAGGGGGGGGGTTCCATGCGGTCCTTGGCTATTTGGGGCTGGTCGCTTTGGGTGACTTTTCTGCCGAGTTCTTAGGGGTTTGGCTCTCATGGCCATTCACGTCTGGGGGGTGTCCTGCGTCCTTGCGGACAGCCGGTCCCTGTTCATTCCCCTGTCCATGGAATGGATGGTCGATGCCGACTCGTTTCGTTGCCTCTGCCAGACGTTCGGGCGCCCGGAGGGCGCTCTTCGCATTGGCGTGGTCGAGGTGTCTTCCGGTATATGTGGTGCCCTTTCCCAACTGCGAGGCCGTCGGGGTCGATGCCTTTCAACAGGACTAGTCGAGGTGGGAGTTCCTATACCTCTTCCCCCCGGTTCAGCTGTTGCTCCAGGTCCTGGCTCACTTGGAGACTTACCAGGGGAGAATGGTCCTTCTGGCACCTTGGCGGCTGGCCCAGCTTTGGTTTCAGGCGCTGCTTGCTCGGTGTCCGAACCTGGAGATTTTCCCGCGTTTCCGCCTCTTTCAGCAGATCGGCCTGGTCTGTTACGAGACTGGTTCGCTCTTCTCCTCGAGTCTTCGCGTCTGGAATTTTTTACTAGAGTCTATCACTGTCTCTTTGGTGTTCAGATGGCTTCTTTGATGTTGTCCCACCTGCGGGCTCTGTCTCGGCGACTGTGTGAAGTTTTCTGGCGGGCTTTCAGGTTCTTTTTGTCTCTCCGTCGTTGTACTTCGCTTTTGGTTAAGGTTGTTTTGTCCTCTCTCTTGTGGCTGTTTCAGGACCGTCATCTGATGCCAAATTCTGTTGCCTCGTCTCGTGTGGTGCTGCCGGAGCCGCTGCTGCTTGCTTTCAGAATCAATGTTCTTTTTGCGCAGTTTTGCAAACTGTCTCGGGCGTTGTTTTACCTCCGGCCTACTCATGCACTGCCTGCACTGTCCAGGTTCTTGGACAGAATGCTCTCGTATTTGTCTTCTCGTTTTGCTGTGGCCCCCTTCGGTTCGAGTTGTATTTCCATAGTTCTTTTCCTGTTGGCATTGGCCACTGGAGGTCGGGTCGGGGAGCTTCTTGCTCTCCTCCAGTGCTGGCGTTTTTCTGTTTTGTTCGAGGTGGTTGGTTGTTCGGTCTCCTTTTGTGGCGTAGTCTGCATTCTGGAGGGGTTCTTGGGTTGTTCATGCTTAGTTGGTCGGGCCCGGGGTGCATCCATTGTTGTCCGGTTGCAGCTCTGTGCTGTTGCCTGCATGTCTCAGCCTCTGTGGTCGTGGATGCGCGTTGGGTTGCCCGGGTTCTCTTCTTCCCAGTTTCGGGGTTTGGGGTTTCCGAGTCGTCCACAGGGTCCTTCGGTGTTGCCGGTTGTGTTGTTTCATGCTTAGGGTGCGTGGTGTCTGCCTCCCGGGTGCATCCCTTTTTTCCTTATCTTTGATTAGGTAGCTCTGGGAAGCCGAAGGGGCTCCCCCAGAAAACCAGCGTTGAATGAAATGAAACGCCATTTTATGGGCGAGATCCAGAGGCTCCCTAACAACCCCCTCCTCCCCCTGGTCGGCAGTTTTCGCATTTTTTTTACATCTATCCTAAGAAATGGTGGTTGGATCACTGAAGCAGTGGGTCTGGGGCTCCCCCTTTCCCCCTCCTGGAGAGGAGAGGGGGAGCTGCACAGACATGTGGCATGGCTCGTGTAACGTCATGCTCGTTTTCATTTGGGGAGTTCTGTCCACTTGTCTATTTTCGTCGTTTTAACAGAATACGGGTTTGTTTTGAGGCGCTTGCTTATGTTTCTGGGTGCCTGGCCCGGTCGATGGCAGACATAGAATGCTCCAAATCACATGTGCATTTCTATAGGCCATTACTCCTCGTGCCTCTCTGAGGGGGGGGGCCAGGTTCTGGCCCTTGGTCCCAGTAGGTCTAGAACTCCATCCACACAGACTGATGCCAAAGTCTGGTTAACACTTTCGCGCTCTCGGCGCTCAAAAAAAAACAATACCCCAGATGCTTTCGGCACTTCGCGCGCCTACGCGGTAAGACCGAAAAAGTGTACACTCTTTTGACTGTCCTGACAATAATTGAAGGCGCACGTATTTAAATTTGGTATCACTGTGTTCGCAATGAAATTGTCTATAAGAGCATACCTATAAAATGCCGCCCAAGCATAAGGAGTATCAACACCAAATAAAAAACTATGCAGATCACTCGCCGAGAGCGCCAAACAGCAACAAAATGTTTCCACTCTCTTAATGGTTGCGAAGCCTACAGTTGTCCTACATCGCTAATTTTGGTATCATTGGAATCGCAATAAAATTCTCTACACGGACATATGCATATGAATGTTTAATATAGGTAATTGCCCACCCGCAAGAGTGTGTGAAGTGGAGAGTAGTTAGCCGCGAGCGCACTGGCGAAAACACAGGGGGGAAATCATGCTTGGAAAGTTTATACGTTTCCTGACCCTACTTTTCTATGTACGTATTTCTTTTTTATACCAATGTGTTCGCAATAAAATTTTCTATAAGATGAACTGTATAACATTTGTACAAAGCATGTGTAAGAGAAGCGCCAAATATAGAAC